TAAACTTAGGGCCTTGTGCAGCTATTTTTGGGGGACTGTTTTGCTAGGAACAGGAATGTTGGGTTATGGTAATATGCATACTCATTCTGATTGTCAGTCACTCTGCAGAATAACCCAACCAGCAATGAGTGAAAACTCTTGTTTACTTGTCATTTTGTTGCTATGTAGCAGTGTCCATCTTTCTGATATTTACCCAAATAATAAGGCATAAAGAAATATCTTCTTATTTTAATGTAAACCTCCTGACTTTAATGAATTTAAGCATCTCTGTATATTTACTGGCTGGCTGGGCTAGGGCTGTAACTCAGTGGTGTGCTAGCCTAGCACATACAATGTAGGCCCCATTCAGGCCTCAAGTCTGTCTTCCCTCCTTTATAATCACACACACAAACACCTACTTTCTGTATTTAGAAGATATCAGGTTTCCAGTTCTTTGAATTGTGTTTTGTTCCCTTTGAGTTTCCTATTTGTGGCCCTGTTCTTTGTGTGATCTGTGTTTCTTAACTTTGATGTGTTATAAGTTACCTAGTATATTAGTTACCTTTATGCTGCTGTGATAAAACACCATAACCAAAAGGGACTTACAGAAGAGAAAGTTTATTTTAGCTTATGGTTCCAGTGGGAGAGTCCATAATGACGAGGAGGCACAGGAGCAGATGACTGGAACAGGAAGCTAAGAGATCGCATCTTTAACAGCTAACACAAAGCAGAGAGAGTGAAATGTAAGTTGGTGAGGTCTCTCCCGGGGACATACTTCCTCCAGCAAGGTTTCATAACTTTCCCATTGACACCAGCTGGGGACCAAGTAGTCCAGTACTTGCCAATATTTCCCATGTAAACCACCACGCTTGGAGGATCTTGTTATGACTCAGGCTAGGCTTCTATAAAAATGCAGGTTGGTCTTGAGATTGTAGACAGTTGTGGTCCTTGAACTAGTCTTTGAGTTGTTAGGTTGCAGAAGCCTCCAAGTCTGTCTCACTTTGCTACCATTGTCTACAGCTGAGCTACTCTAACATATCAATATTTTGTTTAATGGTTGTGGTTGGGATGACTTATTTCAGAGTTCTTCATTATCTCAGGGCCAAAATGATTCTCTTGTTTATTAATTTTTATAGGTTTGAGTTGTTAAGATAGTGCAGTGGCTCTTAACCAATGGGTTGCAACCCCTTTGGGGGTCAAACAACCCTTTCACAGTAGTATATCAGATATCCTGCATAGTAGATATTTATACTATGATTTATAACAGTAGCAAAATTACAGTTATGAAGAGGCCATGAAATAATTTTTTGTAGGGGGTTACCACATGTGAGGAACTGTATTAAAGGGTCATAGCCTTGAACTTTGTGCTCAAGCCATCTCCCTGCGTCAGCCTCCAGACTAGCTAGGACTGTAGGTTCACTGCCCAGCACATTTATAGTGTTTCGCCACCTTAAGGGCTGACTATTGCATTGTGTATATCTCAGCCAGTTAAACTTATTTTCCTATTTGTAGCAAGCAAGCAAGTTTTCTCAGCCTTATAGTCTTTTTCCATGATTGGGGTGCTACTTTCATCTTTCTTCAAGTTTGAGGACATACAGATCTGCTCTCTGTTTCTCCTTTTGTGGTTCAAATATATGCTCATTTATTAGCATCATACAGTTCTTATGTGTGTAGCTTTGAATTGTTTTAATGCACAGAAGGGTAACTTTACAGCTTTGTTCTTCCTTTTCATATTTGTTGTTTTATTTGTAAGTAGGGCTCTAGCCATTTGTTTAGACCTTTCATGTAATTTAGTAGAGCTTAAAGTGTCTTCCATAAGATATTATGGGATATTCTTTACATTTTTCACAAATGTTGTTATTCTTGTTACTTTTGAGAACAGTATTTTACTTCTGCTACATTTACTCATTGATATTTCAAATATAGAGACAGTAGTTTTTATAAGCTCATTTTTGTTTCCTTACTTTGATGGCCTTTCTTTTTTTTATAGCTTTGGTTCATTTTCCTATGTAGATAATTATACTGTCTGCAAGTAGTTCATTCTACTCTGCTTTTTAATTTCATTCTTTGTCCTCATCATTTATCTATAGATTATTTTTAAAGTAGGTTTCAGTATACAGAAAGATTCAAGAGGAAGCATAGAGTTCTCATACTCCCTCTTATATAGTCAGAAGTTCCTGCACCTTGCACTGGTGTAGCGTGTTTGTTGCAACTGATGAGTCAACGCCTGCACATGAGGAATGTTAATCATGGTGGGGAGTGCACATTAAGTCTCACTCTCTGTGTGGTACCGCTCTGTGGGTTTTGTTATTATGAAACCATTATTACATAGCCTACAGAATATCTTCCCTAAACAGTCCTCTGGGCTCCACATCTTCATACTTAGCCCCTTACCCCATGTCTTTGGCAGTCACTGCTCTTTCTGGTGTTTCTGTAATTTTGGTCTTTTCAGAATGTCATGTGGTTGGCGTCATCTTCAGGCTGTTCTTGGTTCATAAACAGTATTCACTTAAGTTTCTTCTACAACTTTCTGTGGCTTGATAGTTCATTTTTTTATGTTTTCTTTCCTTCCATTTTCTTTTTTGAGACAGGGTCTTTTTTCATCTCTCTATGTAGTCCTGGTTGTCCTAGAACTCACATCATAGATCAGGCTGGCCTCTAATTCAGATTCCCTTGCCTTTGTCTCCTGAGTGCTGAGATTAAAGATGTGTGCCACCATGCCCAACTTAGTTCGCTTTTTTCTTGTCAACTAATGATACTTGATTGCATGAATATAACAGGTTGCTTATCCAGTTGCCTATTGAAAGGCACTTGCTCTTAGGTTTTCCCAGTTGTGGATAAGATTGTTATGAACATTCATGTGTGTGTTTTCATCTTGACATAGTTTTCAGTTTATGTGAGTGAAGACCCAGAAATGTTGTTGCTGGGTTGTATGGCAAATGCATGTTTAGGTTGGTGGGAAACTGTTATGCTGCCTTCCACAGTGTCTGTGCCACCTTTTGTGCCCACCAAGAATGAGTGAGAGAGCCTGCAGCTCTGCTTTCTCGCCACTGATGGTATTAGTGCCATGGCTCTTAGCCATCCTAATAGGTGTATAGTGGGTCTCATTATTGTTTTTATCTCTGTCTACTGAATGTCCTCTTATGTGCTTAGTTGATACATGGGTGCTTCTTTGGTAAGATGCCTGTTCAGATCTTTAGTTCATTTTTAGTTGAGTGTTTTCTCATTACTGAGTATTAACCATCCATCCATCCATCCATCCATCCATCCATCCATCCATCTCTTTGTTAGGTATGTGTTTTGCAATGATTTTCCCCAAGGTTATGTATGCCTTGTCTTTTTATGTGTTTAATAATTTCTTCTTTAGAGAAGACATTTTTAACTTTTTTGTGTATATGTACATGTATGTCTATAGGTGCATGTACACATATGTGCTTGTATATGGAGTTAAGAGGTGGATGCCAGGTGACTTCTACTTTTTTTTTTTTTTTGAGACAGGGTTTCTCTGTGTAGCTTTGTAGACCAGGCTGGCCTCGAACTCAGAGATCTGCCTGCCTCTACCTCCCAAGTGCTGGGATTAAAGTCATGCTCCACCAACGCCTGGCTTGCCAAGCTGCTTTTTCTTTTCTTTTTTTGTTTTGTTTTGTTTTTTGAGAGAGAGTTTCTCTGTATTGTTTTGGAAGCTGTCCTGGAACTGGCTCTGTAGACCAGGTTGACATCGAACTCACAGAGATTCCCCTGTCTCTGTCTCCTGAGTGCTGGGATTAAAGGCGTGCGCCACCAACGCTTGGCTCCAAGTGACTTCTTGTGTCACTCTCTACCTTGGCTTTTGAGACAGTCTCTCATTGAACCTGGAGCTCACTGATGTGGTTAGACTGACTGCCAGTGGCCTCTGGGGATCTTCCTGTCTCTGACTCTCTAGCTGGGGTCACAGAAACACAAGAGATTCCTTATGTAGGTTCAGAGGGACCTAATTCAGGTTCATATGCTTTTCTAATTGAACTCTCTCTGTAGTCCCAAATATTTTAACTGAAAAATTATGATGATGATGATGATGATGATGATGATGTGTGGTGCATGTATCACTTTGTGGAGTCAGTTCTCACTTTCTATTTTCATGTGGGTTCTGGGGATCAAACCCAGGTCACCAGGCTTGCATAGTAAGCACACTGACCTGTGGGGTCATCTTGCCAGCCTCAATGTTCCTAATTTTAGTGAAGTTTATTTACTACTCTTTCCCTCATGGATGGTGCTTTTGGTACTGTATTCAAAAATTTATTGTGAAACCCAAAGTGAACTAGATTTTTTTTTTCAGTGTTACCTCCTGGAAGTTTTATAGTTTTGCATTTTACACTAAAACTTATGAACTGGTTTGGGCAATTTTGTGAGTGCCTATGTCACCTTTTGTTTTTAAATATGGGTCTCCAGTTTTCCCAGTACTGTTTGTTGAAAGCATCTGCTTGCTCCATTGAGCTGCTTTTGCTCCTGTTAAAGATCAGCTGGCTGTGTGTGTGGCTCTATTTTAGGGCCCTTTATTCCACTCCATCATTCTATTTTTCTACCAGTGTCACATTACTTTCATTACTATGATTTATAATTTGCTTTTAACCTTTAATTTCTGAAAAAGGATTTGTGATATGTTGCAATTTTAGTTGCAGAGGAACTGGATTAATTTTAATAAAATGACAAATTTTAAAAATTAAAGTATTGATTCTTCTTCTAGGGTATCATTCTTTCAAAAGCTGGTACTTTCTGCCTGCTGTCACTTATTTTTTTGATAACACTGAAAACCGTAAGCATAGATGGGGAGAAATTCTGTGTATTGGTTATTTTAAATATTATTATATTCCTTTGCATTTATGGTGACTTAGCATTGCATATTATATAAAGTTCATACAGATGCAGCTTAATACTTCAATATTATTTCATAATAACATTTTAATAATTGACCATCTGACAGATATTTGCTGGAATATGCATATGTGTAAACCTGACCGTATTCCATTTTGGATTCCTTTTAGATCAATGACGCCTTCCTCCATGTGATTCAGCGCAAATCCACGGGCAAGGTGCTCCTCTCCCTTAAGTAAATCCTCACCTGGGCAGCAGACTCCTGGATCTGGTCTCCCTCCTGTCTTCCTTACTGACCCAGGTGCCGCATCGCATCTTGGTGTCAGTTCCTTGGTTCTGCTTTCTTGCTGCTCATAATCAGTGTGATGGAAAGATTCTTGCCCCACCTCTGCTCTTTCTGAGAAGGTACAGTTAGGAGAAATGTCTTAGGCAAGCCAGGATGTGCGTTCATTGACTTCAGAGTGTTTCAACTGCCAAGACTGTTGTCCTCGACCCCAGAGCCGTCCCCATGCCTCCACACCTCCTCTTCTTCTTCTTTTTTTTTTTTTTTAACGAGACAGGGTTTCTCTGTATTGTTTCGGAGGCTATCGGTCCAGCCCGGCCTAGAACTCACAGAGATCCGCCTGCCTCTGCCTCCCGAGTGCTGGGATTAAAGGCGTGCGCCACCACCGCCCGGCCACACCTCCTCTTCTATCCTGATTATTTCTCGCCTGTTATTCCCAGTGGTCTTCTAACTGGCTTTTCCTTTGGCTGAACTCTCCCATTCCCTTCATCCACTTACACATCGTTGCCATGGTGTCTCCTCGAATCAGCTCCGATTATGTCTTGTCTTAGTGTCTCAGCTTTTTCTGCACTGCAGAGCTCAGACCCTTCTTGCTCTTTCTAGCACTTCCTACAATCCCCCAGTCACTAAGCATTCCTCTGCCGATCTCCCCTCCCTGTGCTCTCTGTTCCTGTGGCTTTCTTTTTATTTTATTTTATTTTCCAGTTTAAATTTAGATAAGAAACAAGGTTGCTTCACAAGTCAGTTCCAGGTCCCTCTCCCTTTCCCTCCCCTCCTCCTGTGCCCTCCCTCCAACACCCCCCCCGTTATCCCCTCATTCTCCCAGGGAGGATGAGGCCCTCCATGGGGGTGTCCATAGTCTGTCATTTCATATAGGGCAGGGCCTAGACCCTTCCCCAAGAGTTCAGGGTGAGAGTGCACCTCACATTGTTCTATGGGAGTCCAAAGTTCCTGCGGCTTTCTCTCCTCCACCTCTAAGGCCTTTCTGGGCTGCAGGCCTGGCATTTTCCATCTGCCTTCATTCATTTCCATCTGTGTTGCTCTCTGTTGCTGCTGCTGCCGCCTTCCTGACTCCTCCCCCAGGATTTGCCACCCTCCCCTTGAATCATAGGGACACATGTATAGTAGAAGGAACACAGGCTTCTGAATCTAAGATGTGGGTTTGAATCCCAACCTCCCTGCTGCCAGGTGGTGATTGACATTTTGCTTTTCTTGCTGTAAATCAATAGTTCTCAACCTGTGGGTTGAGACCCCTTGGGGTTGACCAACCCTTTAACAGGGGTCACATATCAGATATCTACATTACAATTTATAACAGTAGTAAAATTATAGTTATGAAGTAACAACAAAAATAATTTCATGGTTGGGGGTCACCACAACATGAGGAACTGTATTAAAGGGTCACAGCAGTAGGAAGGTTGAGAACTACTGCTGCAAAGTGACTGTTATAATATCTGACTTTCAAAGTTGCTGTAGGCAGTACATGAGGTACTTGGGTAAAGCACCTAGCAATGGTAATCCATTAGTGAATGCTGGTTACTCCTACTTTTTCTCCTTTCCATACAAATTACAAGTTTCTTGAGACATAGGTACCATGTCTGAATCCCCTGTTGACTTCCTATGCCTTCTACCATTCAATTTAATTTGTCTGGAATCTTAAATTGTAGGATTATATTAAGGATATTTTACCCTGGAAATAACCCAAATGCCTCTTGACAGGTGAATGTATAAATATGCATACTAGTGTTTATATATACACATGACATATATATATAATATATGTAATATATATTAGGTTGCAAATGTATTGTATGTCAATGAGACATAAAGTAGGTAGTTATCAGGAATAGATCCTGGTAAACTTAACACCTCTTCTAGGGGGAAATAGGGAGTTTCTTAAGGCATGTGGAGTTTCAGGTTGGGAAAATTAAAAAAAAATCTATAGAAATGTGTGGTTGTAATGATTACCCTAATGAACTGAAGTAAACACTTTCAATTGTTTTAAAAATGGTTGCAGTGGTAAATGTTATACATGTTTTGCCACAATAAAAAAGTTTAAAAAAAGATGTAACCCTGTCTCGTAAAACCAAAAAAAAAATGTGCTACTATTATTTCTAAGTAAATTGATAGGGGAGAGAGCAGTGTGTGTTGTGCAGAGTGCTGAGCTCAGTGGGGGGAGCTGCTGCTCTGACTTCATCCTGGTGTGTTGGGGGAAATGTAAACTTTTATTAGGTGCTGAACATTCTGCAGACACTCCTTGACTTAGGATAGTTTTCTTTGTGAGTTCCCCACTATATACTTATATTCTTTTTCAAAATGCTTGTGAAGATATTTTTCGCATATGTATGTGTGTGTGGTGTGTGTGTTTATATTTACATGTGTGTGGGCACACATGTGGGGTGCACGTGAAGTATATGTTGTGAGTATGGAAGACATCAGATGTCTTCTTCAGTCTTTCTCAACTTCATGTGCTTAGGCAGGGTCTCTCGCTGAACCTGGAGCATTAGCTGTCAAAGCAATAGGCATCTAGCAGACTCCTCACTTTGAGTTTTGACCTTTGGTCTTCTCACACATCAGCAATGCACATTATGTTACAATACGCTTGCATCCTGCTGGACAACACTGCTGATGCTAGGCTATGATGATGTGTAGGTCAGAGGTAGTAAATTCATTTCCAACATGTGAGACTTCCAACTTGTAGAGGGTTTACCAGGACATCAATTCCTTGTAGAATGAATTCCTGATAAACAGGATATACTCTGTTTCTTATGACACTTGAATGATAATTGTCATAAAAGGAAGGGGTTTGATAGAATACAAACCAGCACTTGACACAACTGGTGTATGTGGGTCATTTTGTGTATTAATTTGATTCTCTGCCAAGAAGTGTGGCAAGAGGTTTTTCTCTCTGATAACTGCTTTAGACCATTTAAAAACAGCTATCTTTGGGGCAAGAAGGATGGCTCAATGGGCAAAGCCTTTTCAGGGGTTAGGGTTCAATCCCTAGAACTATAGAAACCAGGCAGTCATTTGTGGTGGCTCGCCTGTCATCCTAGTGCCACAGAAACTCTTATAAAGGAAAACATTTAATTGGGGTGGCTTACAGTTCAGAGGTTCAGTCAATTGTCATCATGGTGAGATGTGGTAGCATGCAGGCAGACATGGTGCTGGAAAGGTATTGAGAGTCCTATATCTTTCTTTTTGAGAGTCCTATAGCTTGCACAGGCAACAGAAAGTGTCTCACTAGGTATAGTTTGTGCATAGGAAACCTTAAAGCTGACCCCACAGTGACACACTTCCTCTAACAAGGCCACACCTACTCCAACAAAGCCAGGTCTCCTAATAGGTAATTTTCTTTTAAACCACCACAGAGGGCAACTTCAGTATGCCCTGAACCCTTTGGCATCATTGAAGACATGCCAGATGGTGGCTGAAAGAGAAGGAAGGAGAATCAGAATTGGGAAAGAATGTGCCATTCCAACCAGGAGCTGCCTTTTCCATGGAGCATGAATGGTCAGTGGGTGTCACAGGCAGTGAATATTGAATGTCCCCAGTCCACTAATGTCAAAATGACTTGAATGGGAAGAGGCAGTCATTAAGGAGAATGGATTCAGATTTAGAAGGTATTGCTTAGAGCCTCTAATGACTTGCTCTCTGCTTGCCTGCCTTCCTGCTTCAGTGAAATGATTTGATTTGAAAGCTTCTGACTCATGTTTTAGTCATTGTTTGCTGGTTCTACCATCTGAGCCATTAGTATGAAAAAAGAATCAATATGTCTCCAAATGACAGTGTTTATTCTATATTCACAGACTTCCTAATTCTTCCTCAGAGGCTGGCTGCTGCAGAAAGCACTCCCACGGCCCTGCCTCTCCCTTTTCAGTAATGATGGACTGATCTACTTGTCTCTCTCTTCCAACTAGTGTGAAAGATGGGATATAGCTCCCTTACAGAGAGATTGCTTCACATTTGTCAGATCTTGGTTTTCATCCCTAACACTGACCCACACAAAGGGTTAACAATCAAAGTGAGATTTTTCTGCTCTGACCCTTGGAATGATGCTGTCTACTTCTCCCCAATGTGTTTGATAATGTTACTTCCTTTGTGTCTGTGTGAATCTGGAGAGCAATCTTTTCTATTTGTGCTATGATAAAGATAATAAATGTGTTGGCATTTAACAAGTGAAGGAATAGAGATATCATCATCCACTTGCCCAGATTTAATAAAAGTAAATTGGGGGGGGGGGAGGATAGGCTGTTCCTTCTTAAATTTTCCTTCTAGGTTACATAAGAAAATCAAATAGAAGTGATTTTTCAAAGTCCTCTTAGTGCTGGACTCCACTCTTCCAGTTCTTTTCATCATCAGAACTTATTGCTACACTCTGGTCTGCATCAGACAGACACTGGTTTCTGGAGCTCTCTCATTGCTGGGGATGATGTACAAAGTGCTCAGGCCTACACAGGGAAGATTGTTGTGGGCAGAGAGCTACAAATCTAGTGGAAGAGACAGTCAAATCAAGCACACACACACACACACACACACACACACACACACACACACACAAACCCCAAAACCAAAAATAATCCTCCCCAAAACCCCTCAAGTCAGGTGTAGTGGTGTGCACATATTCTCGGTAGACAGAAACAGGATGACCACCCCAAGCTGGAGGCCAGCCTGGTCTACAGAATGAGACCCTGACTCAAGCTAAACAAGACAAACACAAAACCATAACAATGCTGGATGGTGTCAGGTAAGGTATAATGGGGGCAGGGCTTTGTCTCTGATGACAGCCTCTTAAGCATCTATGTGAAAGATGGAGGCTTCTAGAGATTTCAATAGGGAAGAAGGGAATATTCTTGGACCCCATGGCTAATGAAAGCAAAAGGAGCTGAAGGTAGGTGAGTGAGGCTGGAGCTCCAGAAATGCCCGTGAGCATTGTGAGATGGTCCTGCAAGAAGGGAGCAGGGCACACATTGGCTTGAGTTTTGACTTTGCTGAAAGAGCAATGCCAGTGAAGTGTTCTAGTGGGGATGGCACAAGTGGATGTGATCGGTTTAGATTTCCACCAACTATAGAGGGGAAGGATTGAAAGGGAGTGGTCAAGGAGGAGTGCATTCTAAATAAGGGACCACTGCAGCTTGCTGTTTGTTGTTATGATAGGGAAGGAGAGATGTGGTCATAGTGTAGAGCTATGCAGGAGATGAAAGTAGAAGGACTTGATGTTGGCTTGGATATAGGCATAAAAGGGAAGGAAGAAGTGTCAAGGTGGCCGGGCGATGGTGGCGCACACCTTTAATCCCAGCACTCGGGAGGCAGAGGCAGGTGGATCTCTGAGTTCAAGGCCAGCCTGGTCTACAAAGTGAGTTCCAGGACAGCCTCCAAGACAATACAGAGAAACCCTGTCTCGAAAAACAAAAACAAACAAAAAGAAGGGTCAAGGTAATGCCAACTTTCTGCACATATGTTTCATAGGTGGAACAATGAAAGCGTTGGGTTTTGGCAACGGAGAGGGGTATAATCAAGGAGATGAGGGTCTGTACATTTTGAGATACCCAAGAGTGTTAAATGTCCACTTGGTGCTCTGAAGAGAGGAGTGTGGTCTAGATACATGAATTCAGGTGTTGTTGGCCTGCAGGTGGTCTTGACACACAGTGTGGCTGAGACTACCCAAAGATGTGAGAAAGGAAGAGTGTTGTACAGGCCACGAGGCCCTTTCCTATTGATAGGCTGTAGAATATTTCAAGGCTTTGTTGAAGACCACTGAAAGAAACTTAAGGGGATAACTTGGGA